TTTTTCAGTTTCCTACAGGGTAACGGTAAAACCTCAAAATATGGTTATGATAGAACAATTTTTTTAGAGATTTAGCATGTTATTTGTCCTTTCTTCAATTTGGTGGGATTGTTTGTAAGCCCAGAATGTTGAAAATAGAAAGGCACTTCATCCCATAGATTATCAAGCGACACTGTCAGGCTCTAGACTATTCGAACTTTTAGAAAATTTTAGAAAAAAACTGGAGAGCTTTCTTTCAAATCGTGGTCATGTGTTGAAAACTGTTCAAAGAAATGGACGTTACTGAAGTACGTCCGTGAAAAATGAAGCGATCCTTCCCAGTTTATACCTTAGACATTCTTTGGCAAGGGGTAACTCATCGAGATTCACCACTCAATTTACCCGATCTGAAAGTTATTTTTGGTTCAAGAAGTACGGCCTAGTTGTCTCGGTTCTCAGTAGAAAGGAGCTCAATAAGAAATGAAATCAATACTATGCTCATAAAACTATCTGAGACTACGACTGCCCTGTCAATAGTTATATGAAGGCAAATATGTAGGCTTCCTCTTCTTTTACATACCAATGGCTCGCTATCGCACGGACTCCTGTTCTTCTTAGCAAAAGGGTTTACCAGCAGTGGTATAGATCGTAAAAGCTAGGTGATCGTGAATGAGGCTAAGTTTGACATGAGACGATATTTCTAGCCACCAATGTGCGATTAATTTAAGCCAATCCGATATTTTTTGTGGATTTTTAAATTTCCGGAATCGCCTAGGGATAGAATCTCTAGCTTGCTCATCCTTTGATCCTCAAAAATATTGTGAAGACCAAATGCGCATCAAAAGTCTCCAATACCGTTTTGATCATCTAGTGTATCCCTGGAAGGATCCTCTGGCAGCAAGCACACCTTGTCCTATCCATGCCATGATGTCGAAGAAATTTCTTCGAAGTCTTTTTCAATTTCCCCTTGTAAACTCACTGTGTTTCGGTTTCATTTACATGAACATTTTATTTAGGCATAGCGGTCGCTCGGCGACTGGCAAAAAAGCTGCGAATCCAGATTCGTATAAAACAGTGATGTGTCAGGCTTGGCTCGAATCGAAAATGTGCGCTTTTGGCGAGAATTGTCGATTCGCCCATGGTGAAGCTGAACTTCGACCTGTAAGGTTAGCGTTGATTTTTTTAGCTCAATTTTCAAAAATACAGCACGTTCTCAATTTCTCTTGAAGTCTCAGCATAAAAGATTTGGACGAATTTTTGAGTTGTTTGTGGTATCGTCTAATTTCAAGTATTTTTGTTTCGGACTTGATATATATTGTATGATATGAAATAATATCTTGAAAAAGCCGAGCAAAAGAATGAGGGTACGACAGAAAGTTTATGAGAAAATTGGTCGCCTTTTGTCACGTTATTGAGCACATTTCTGAGAAAATCCTGAATTATTCTTCACTGAAGCAAAGAGACGACATCTGCCTGTGAGCCGTTCATGTGTGATGGAGGAGAGCTTCAAAGGGGTAAACTTGGCATGCACTTTTTTGTGGCATGTCTAAATGTTCGTGCGTAAGCGGTTTATTGAATGCCGTGGGGCTAGTGTAATCGCTTTCAAATGCCTCGTACTCGGAAGTTCAACTGCACCTTGAGTACATTCGAGTTAATAGTCTCATATAATTGACAACTACATACTCGAACGTTTACTAGTCACAGGGAGACAGTTGCCTGCGTTGTGATAGACAGTAGGGTAGAATGGATTTCTTCGATGATCACTGCATAAGGCAGCACTGTGCATGTGGCCTGGTATAGTCATTTTTCTTGAGCAAAAGTGTGTAACCCTTATAGGCGAAAAAAGAGGTAACTGTACCGGTGAACGGCAGGTGACAGTTGATAGTTCTGTTATCGTTCACTGATTGNTGCATCGGTATGTACGTAAAAAAACGCTGTGGGTTAGACCTTCAGTGGCAGCTGTCAGCAATTGCTTATCTGTCTGTCGTTGGTAGAAGAAACAGTTACCGTCCTAAGCGTTGCAGCAGTTTTTTTGGTCGTTACGGTCGCGATTGGCAACCACTTTCAGTTCTTCCAACTGAAATAAGTGAATTTAATCAATAGATGACTGAGCGACGACATTCGGCGAATCAGCCCGCTCATCAAAATTTACAGGGTGAAGATGTGGTGGAAGAAGATGCCAAAAGCTATTTGGGATCTTCTCCCTCATCATCTGGGTTCTGAATAAGCCTGCGTCCTTCGTTTAACCTATTTAATGCTCTGTCAGAAAAGTCGCCGATGTGCACTTCGCTTCACTCCCTTTTATACTTCAACACGTAGCTAAAAGACCGTCCGACACTTATTTATCTTCTCCTCACGCCTCGTACAAATGATTCATTCCAGATTTATGGAGATATTTCGCTGAAATACCTTGCCTCTACATCAGTTAACCCAGTTTTGCACGGTTTTCATGATTTCTCTCACCGTAATGTGGGATTGATGTGTATTACAGTTCCAATTTTCAAACAAGTCATGGGTCAGGCACTCGATGTTGTACAAATGAAAGGCTTACTTTTTCTGAGTTGAATTCTGGTCTGATTGGTCTGATTGGAGATTCGATTCGTA